AATAGTCTCCCTGCTTCTACCACTATCTATTCTACACACCATCTATTCCACAGTTAGCTCACAAAGCAAATCATATCCCATCAATCCCAGCCAAGAATCTTTCTCTGACTTCCCATAACCCTTAAAGCAAATCCAGTTAGCAGCAAGCTCCACAGGGCCCTTCTCTAAACTGGCCTCTTACCCACTTCTCTGGCATACATCTGTAATCCCAGCTACTCCAGAGGCTGAGGCAGAAGAATGGTAAATTTGAGACCAATCTAGATAACTTATAAAGATCTGATCTCAAAATATAAATTTAAGAAAGGGGTAGATACAGCTCAATGGTAGAGTCAACCCCAGTACCAAATAAATTGTGGGGGCATAGTAAAAGTATACCGTTTATGCAAGAGATCAAATTTAAATTGTTATTAACTTAAAACAGCCTGCTCTAAAATTCTGTGTAAGCCCCATTCCTAACACAAAGCAAAACTCTTCATGGATACACAAAAGATTAAAAAATAAGTATTCAGGAAATACCACTAAGAATCATCAAACACAAAGGCAACAAGAGAAAAAGAAAAGAACAAAGGATCTAAAAAATAACCAGAAAACAATTAACAAAATGGCAACAGTAAGTCTTTTACCGATAATAATCTTGAGTTTAAATGGATTTTCTCCAATCAAAAGACTGAGTGGGCCTGACATGGTGGCATATACCTGTAATCCCAGCAGCTCAGAAGGCTGAGAAAGGAGGATCACAAGTTCAAAGCCAGCCTCAGCAATGGCAAGGCACTAAGCAATTCAGTGACACGCTGTCTCTAAATAAAATACAAAACAGGGCTGGGGATGTGGCTCAGTGATTGAGTGCCTCTGAGTTCAATTCCTGGTACCAAAGAAAAAAGAAAGAAACAAAAACAACCGAAGATCTAATTATATGCTACCTATAAGAGACTTGTGTCCACTCTAAGAACACAGAGACTGAAAATGAAGAGATGGAAAGATACTCTCCATACGTGGTAACTATTAGAGGACAGGCATAGGCTTCTATCGGACAAAATAAACTGAGTCAAAAACTATGAAGAGAGGGCTGGGGATGTGGCTCAAGTGGTAGCATACTCGCCTGGAATGCGTGGGGCGCTGGGTTCAATCCTCAACACCACATAAAAATAAAAAATAAAGATACTGTGTCCACTTAAAACTAAATATTAAAAAAATGATTTTAAAAAAACTATAAAAAGAGGCAAAGAAAGTCATATCATAATAAAGGGGTCAATTCATCAAGAAGTTATAATAATTACAAATATACATGTACCAACATTAGAAAACCTAAATATATAAAGCAAATATCAATAAATCTAAAGGGAGGAACAGAATGCAATACAATAATAGGAGACTTTTTCTAAGGCAAGTTAAAAAAAAAAAAAGAAAAAAAAGAAACACTCGATTCAACAATTAGCACGGTGACGCAAACCATCATCTCATCTCTCCTGGATTACTGCCATTGCCTTTCACTAGTTTCCCCTTCTTTCTCCTTATTCTTTTACAATTCATTTTCAATGTTTCAGAGTGATCTTTTGGTAAGTGCTTAAAATCCACCAACTCACCTCACAGTGACTAATCATGCCTTACATGATCTGGCAGCCCTGCTCTCCTCCCCTTGTTCACTGACCTTGCTGTTCCTCAAATACAGGGACAATGTAATCTCAGGAATTTTGCTCTTGCCTTTGCCTAGAATGTTCTTTCTCCAAATATCCACTTAGTCTGCTTTCTTACCTCCTTTAGATTTTCCTTAAATGAACCTTCTCAGTTGGCACTTATGAAGATATTAAATTTTGGCTCATTTGTTATGCAACAAAAGCTAACTAATGCACAGTGCCAAGAAGTGAACTGTGGCAGACACCATAACACACTAGTCAGACCTCCTTCCAGGATGAAGAGCTTATAATTGCCCTAGCTTCTGGAAATGTTGAAGGCAGACAACCTCAGCTGAAGAGATCCACCTTGGCAAGGCTGCATTCCACTTTCCTACAAATAAAGGTAGACTGTTGTTTCTATCTTTATTTCCTTGCTTGTTGAATCATAAATGTGTTTAAAACTAACCTCTTAGCTTTCCTTTGTTGCCACTTATTGTATGTAGAGTATAGTAGGATTGGTTAAATTTCCTTTTTATTAATTTCACAGGTAGGCAGAATTACAAGAGGAGTAGCTATCACTAACACTCTAGACTTGGAGCTAAGTGCAATAAACTAGAATAGAGCATTACTCTCTTTTAGGCGAGAGTATGAATAAATTTTGTCTGTATACTGAACAATTTCACTGCGTTGGCAGGAACATTTTTTAAACTGCATGTATAAGAGAAAAGATGAGATTATATATTGAGCAGCTGTTATTACAAATAGCTATTATATGTTATTATATATTGCTATTTTTGCCTATCCAACTTCCATTTTTTCCTTTTTCTGTAACAGTCCCCAAATTTACCTTAGAGAAACAATAACTTGTCTTATATTCATGCAAATGCATTATCAACTAAGGTGTCCTTTCTTCTTTGGATGAAGGGTTCACATAAACATACTGGAAGTAATCAAGGCTCCCTCCTCCAGAAATTTTGTTACAAAAATATAGGTAAATGGGGACTGGGGTTATAGCTCAGTGGAAGAGCACTTGCCTAGCACTACATATAAATAAATAAATAATAAAGGTCCATTGACAAATAAAAAATAAAAAAATAGGTAAATGGTTCATTAGTGACTGCTGTAGTTTCATCTTTTCTGAAGTATATTCATTTTTGTAAATTATTCCATAGCTTTTCTGAAACTGTTTTGCTAGCCAACAAAAGTACTCTACCTAGGATACCTAAACCATTATTTCTTCATTTGAAAAATGTGGATAATATTAACATTTGGGTGTGATGATTAAATGAGATATCCACTCATTCAAATATTTGAGTGTACCTACTGATCAGGCCTTGTAGAGATAAAGAAATAGAAGATGAAACCCCAAAACAGAAGAGGTGAAAGAATGGGGATTATGAGAGATTAAATGGAGACGTGTCCTGGACTTTCTGTGAAAACACAGTCTTTGACAGAAGAAATGCTTTCTCCATTGTATTAGACTGAACCATATGTAACCATTTTTCAACCATTTAGGCAACAATTTCATATAATTTAATCTAATAGTAGGAAGGAAGCATGAGAAATTATCTCCCAACACAGATTCATATAGATTTAGTGGTGGGAATTAGAAGCACTGTCTCCTTTGAATGTAAAATGCCTAGATTAAAAGACATTAAGTAATTAGTCTAGGTACAGATTACTCTTTGGTATAAATTCATAGAATCTACATCCCTAAGGAATTTTGTATGAAGCAGAAATATTCATATTTTTTGAACAGTCTTGGTCCTGACTAAAAAAGCAGATAGGGGAAGTATTAATTACTTTTCTAATTCATCTTCCTGTATAGTCTCTTCACAGTTTTATAGGTTGTACAGGAAGACAAATTAGAAGAGATGGTGTTTCTTTACCCTCAAAAAATACTTAAAGGATTAAGATAGTCTATCTAGAATCAGGATAAAAAGATAATCATCATGCTCAATTTTTAGAATAAACTAAAAATGAAAATCAAATAAATTATAAATCAAATGAATCCTGAGAGGAAGAACAAAGGTAAAGCCCCTAAAACAGTTTTTAAAATAGTGTTCTAAAATTCAAAATAATTGTTCTTAGGAATATTAACTATTGCCATATTTAAAGGCTGTTGCTATCTTAAACTAATACTAGTGTTTTGTGAAGGTCTAAAGTAGAACTACTACTAGATTTCAGAACCAATTCTGCAGAATGGTCATGTTGGACTTGTGGCCTCAGCCTGGCTTACCAGCCCTCTGAGAGACCTATTCAGTCCACATCTTCTGCTGCCCTACTTTGCACTGCTAACAATGCCAGCACTCAGCTGTGAGGCCATCAGCACAACCCAAAATCTAGTAGTGTGTCCAGATGGCGGGACCTACTTTAAAGGAAGGTGGACAAAGTAAAGTCTCTTGCATTTTCAGCTTCTGTAAAGGGAGGAATGGTGTGCCTCAAAACCAAAACTAAAAGCTCAGGAATTCCCCAGAGGAAGGAGGCTCAGATTCCCTCTCCCAACCCCCACACACAGGAGGAAGCTTTATTCTGCTGGACTTGGGAGAGGCAGACTCTCGGGAACCTTTACTTCAGTAAGCCCTCTTGGGCTTCTGCCTGTTCTCTCAATCTGCTTCAGCTCATCCTGCCTCCTCTTCTCTTTCATGGCTACCTGCTCCTCTCCTCTTCTACCCAGAGTTTTAGGTAACTGTAGCACTTGGCTCAGATTCTTAATGTTTAATAAAACCAACAGGTTTTCAATATCATACTCAATATATTCAAATGATAAAATACAGGATGCTGAGAGGAAGCAAAATGGATTTTCCAAAGCATCATAAAATTCACAACTAGAGAGCATTATTTTCTAATTTTCCAAAGAATAAAAAAACTACAATCTTACCTTGTAATAACGAAAATAGTCTCGCTCTTGCAATTGTTTTATTTTGGGGAAGATTTTGTAGGTATTGAAATTGTCAATGCTGGTAATATCACATAGGCAATCGTCCAGAACTCCAACCACCTAAAATTTGCATATGTACATAAAAATTTAAATATGTAAATTACTGATATTTCAACCTTTATAGATTTGCTTTATTATATAAAAGATTGATGGTCAAAATGAAAAATAAGAATTCTCGGGGCTGGGGCTGTAGCTCAGTGGTAGAGTGCCTGCCTCACATGCGTGAGGCACTGGGTTCGATCCTCAGCACCACATAAAAACAAGTAAATAAAATAAAGGCATTGTGTCCAACTACACCTAAAAAATAAATAAATGGGGGCGGGGAGAATTCTCCTTCCTTTAGCTACACACACATAAAATCCAAGTAGCCACTGAAATCTAAAGCAATCTCTTCCCAGACTGGCCCAGAGGTCACAGACTATAACAACACTGCTGCATCTTCAGGTCATTTTCTTTCTGTTGTTGTTGTAGAAGGCCTTTACTTTGTTTTCATGTGGTGCTAAGGATTGAACCTAATGCCTCACACATGTTAGGCAAGCATTCTTCCACTGAGCTACAGCCCAGCCCGCCTAGGGTCCTTTTTAATTTCAATACAGGGTCTCACTAAGTTACTAAGGCTGACCTAGAACTTGAGATCCTCCTGCCTCAGGCTACAGACTCACCTGATTACAGGCATGAACCATTTCCCTGGGCTCACAGTATTCTTTAATATGCCTCTTCATTTACTTTTAAAAGTATCCTATACATAAGGTACTATTAGCCTCATTTTACATAAAAGGAAATTAAGCTTTGGCAAGCCTAATTTTTCCAAAGTAAAAATGAAACTTATCCCCAAATCCACACCAGACTTTAAAACTCATGCTCCTGTCCACTACTCAAAGTATCCATTAAGCCAAGAAGAAAATTTGGTATTTACAAAGTGAATTTAAAATTCAAAAATTCCATAATCATTATTCACTAAGTTAAAAATGAGACCGACCGACTGATATGCGACTTTGATGAATCTTCCAGGAATTATCCCAAGTAAAAAAGTCAATCCCCAAAGTTTACAAACTGTATGACTCCATTTACAGAATATTATTGAAATGAAAAATTTTTAGGAATGCAGAAAAGATTTTGGTTGCCAGGCTTTAAGGACTATAGTAGAAGACAGAAGTGGGAGTGGGGAGTCAGATGAGGTTGAAGCAGACAAAAAAAACCAACAGGAAGGACTTCTAAAAGTGTTAAGGAAATCATTGAGTATTTTTCATTGTGGTGGTAGATACTCAAAGCTACAGGTGATAAAGTTGTACAGAACACACACAAATCAGACAAGTAAAACTGGAGGAATCTGGGCTGGGGATGTGGCTCAAGCAGTAGCGCGCTCGCCTGGCATGCATGTGGCCCGGGTTCGATCCTCAACACCACATACAAACAAAGATGTTGTGTCCACCGATAACTAAAAAATAAATATTAAAAAAAAAAAATTCTCTCTTTCTCTCTCTCCCCTCTTTGAAAAAAAAAATTATTAAAAAAAAAAAACTGGAGGAATCTGAATAAAGTCTACAGATTCTATTACTAACATGTCCTCTTTATGATACCAGATATGTTCACAAGCTGTTACCAGGGGGATAACTGCATAAAAAGGACATGGCATTTCTCTGATTTTTTTATTTTTTATTTTTTTAGTATTTATTTTTTTAGTTGTAGTTGGACACAATACCTTTTTTCCATTCATTTATTTTTATGTGGTGCTGAGGATGGAACCCAGGGTCCTGCGCATGCTGGCGAGTGCTCTACCGCTGAGTCACAATCCCAGCCACTGATTATTTTTTTAAATTGTATATGAACTTACAACTATTTCCTTTCAAATTTTCTACTGAGAACAAAAATGGGCCCCAGGCTGCTACAGGCTATTTAGTGATCCAGGAGTGGAAACTAGCCCTTGCTAGTTATATCTTTCTTCCGAGGAGTGTAAAGGTGACCCAAACTCCCTACAACATAAAGTTAAGAGCTATATTATCTTGAGATAAGGAATAAGGGATCATTATCAAGAATTTGGTTCTGGAGTTCTATCTGCTTTGTTTCATTTCATTGTTCCCACTACTTACAAGACTTCAAATTCTAGCCTGATAACAATGGGGTGAGGGAATCAAAATGCAAACCAAAATACTTTCTAGATTTTAAAATATTTTATCTAGTAATCACTATTTCCCTTTCTAATATTTTTTTAGTTGTAGATGGATACATTTATTTGTCTTTATGTGTTGAGGATCAAACCCAGTGCCTCACACATGCTAGGCAAGCACTCTAAAACTGAGCTACAACCCCAGCCCAGTAATCACTATTTCTTATGCATTTTTCTGTTCACTTTGTTCAATTTAGGAGGCTGAGGCAGGAGGATAGCTTGAGCCTAGGAGTTCAGTGGCAGTATAACCATCTCTTAAAAAAAAAGAAAAGAAAAAAACACTGCTTTATGTTTCCCTGTAAAACAATGTATTTAAGAATTTTCCCCCATTTTTGAACTTTAATGTTAATGAAATATGTGAATTCTTCTGTAATGTACTTCTGTTGCTAACATTTTATTTCGACATCTGTCCATAATGATTCGTTTTACAGTAGTACATTCATTTTTCCAGTTAAAAGTATTGTATTATATGAAAATAATCACAATTTATTCATTCTATTATTGATTTATAGAGTAGGTAGAATGACCCTCCCAAAGATATCCATGCCCTAATTTCTGCAGCTTTGTAATGTTATTTCACATTACAAAAGGGACTTTAAAGACATAATTAAGAATCTTGAGATGGGAAGACTATATAGATTATTCAGTACAACAGTTACAAACTTCCTTATAAAAGAAGAGTTAGAGAAGATGCTGCATTGTTGGCTTTGAAGATAGAGGAAGAAGTCACAAACCAAAGATTACAGAAGCCTCTAGAAGACTGGATCCCCCCCCACCAGAGCCTCCAGAAGGAATGCGACCTTGCTGATATCTTGATTTTTAACCCTGTAAAACCATTTTCAGATTTCTAACCCCCAAAAGTAGGAGATAATAAATTTATGTTGTTTTAGGTCAGTAAGTTTGTGTTGATTTTTAGCAACAATAAGAAAATAATACAACATACTTAGGATCTACAAATGCAATACAAATATTTTTGTATATGTATGGTGGTATACACATGCAGGAGTTTGTCCACGTTGTAATGATTAGGAATAGAGTGCAATAAGTACATTTCAGCTGTACTAGGGAATAACAGGCTGATTTCCAAAACAGTTCTAACAATTTATTATGTCACCATCAATGGACTGGGGTTAATGGTAAGCCATATCATAGTATTTGATATTAATCTATTCTTTAATTTTTGCCAATCTAATAATGTGGAATGGTATCTGGTTTATGTTTGTTTGCACTAATGAGGTACTATGTTCATGTTTTAGGAGACATTTGTATTTATTATTGTGTGCAATGTCTATCTTTAGTTCACTTGTCCTTTTCATACTGACCTACTACAAGGAATCAATACAAATTTTTTCTTATTCTCTTAGACCTTCTTCCTCTATCCTATTATGTCTCTGGAGTTCTCTTTAATAATTATTATCCTGTTGTCTCTTGAGATTTCCTTGTGAGTAATTTATTTGCATTTACCTTCCACTTATTCCTTTACTTATTCAATAAATTTACTAACAAACTTTGTATCATTCTACATGCTGAGAATATGGATTTAGAAAAAAACTAAAAATCTCTGCCCTTGAGGAGCTTATATTCTATAAGAGAACTGGAGAAAATAAAGTACAATGTCTGACAGGTAGTAATGAATAGGGGATGGGAACAGGGATTGCAGAATTGGAGCTACTATAATTTTAGACAGCCACATGAAGGAATTTTGGTAAACCCTGAAGGAGGGAAAGGAGCAAGAATGAAAATATATGAAGAAAAAGCATTACAATAAATTATTAGAAATATTAAGTGTAAAGGTACTGAGACAGTAAGCCTGCCCAAAGTTTCTAAGGAACAAGGAGTACCATGCAATTAACTAAAAAGAGAATTAGGAGACCACTATAAGACTTTAGTTTACTGAGCCTAGGGTGTTTGCTCACACCAACCAAGTCTCCAGATCTAAGAGACTGATTAAGTATCCAACAATTCAATTCTGATACTAAATATCCAGAATCAGTGCCAACTCTAATTAGTTAAGGTGCAAGTCCCAAAAGACTGCCCCAACTTCAAACCAATCTCAAACCCTGGGTCACTTGTTCTTCTAACTGACTGACTATAAATCTGGGTCCCAGGATCCCCTTTTTCAGGTCCAGTAATTTGTTAGAATGATTCATAGAACTCAGAAAAGCACTTTAATTACCTTTTAATCAATTTATTATGAAGGAAACAACTCAGAAACAACCAAATGGGAGAGTATTAGTGGGAGATGGTTTGAGCTTCTATGCCCTCTCCTCATCACCCTCCCAGTACGTCAGTGTTTTCATACCCCACAAGTTCATCAACTCTTAACAGCTCCAGAGTTGAATCACTTGTCTTTCTGGTGATCATGCTCATCATGAGGCTAAATATGGGCTTCACCCTAAGTCACCTCATTAGCATAAACTCAGGTATGATTGAAAGGGACTCATTGTGAACAATAAATTATCACTTAATACTTTCATCACTTAGAAAATTCCAAGCATTTTAGGAGCTCTGTGCCAGCAATCAAACAAAAACCAAATGTATGTTCACAATATACCACACTGAGTGAGGCAGGAAGCTACTGGAGAGTCTTAAGCAAAGGGTAAAAGTAATATGGACTATCAGCTGAGGAAAGAGGGATTTTCTTGTATATACTATGATCAGAGATGGGGACATTTTAGATAAGGGGACATGTCAGATAAAGTGACACTTCAGCAGAAACTAAGATATGAAGAGATGGGTGAACTGTATGAACACATAAGTGTGTTAGGTAGAACAGTACAAATACCATGAAGGAAGAAAACACTTGCGTTGGTCAAATTATACAGTTATAGTGTGCACATAAATAATAAACAAACATACTTGCAATGTTTGAAGAACAAGCAGGCCAGGGTTG